GACCAGGGGTAGTGATTGGAATTATGCTAAAATTGGGGGTCAACTCAAAAAATTTAGGGGTCAAACTACATTATAATTTAGGGGTGTAAATGATACGAGTCGAGCTCGAGTATCACTATACTCGACTCGAACTAACCCAATTTCCAAGCTCGAAAACTCGCGAGTAGTAAAAATGAAAACTTGACTTGAACTCGATAACTATTTCTCAAGCTTGAACTCAAACTAAGCTCGAATCAAACTCGAACTCGAGCTAAATCAAGCTTGAACTACAACTCAACTCAAGCTTGAACTCGAACTTGAATCAAGCTCGAAACAAATTCACCCATTGAAATTTATGAAATTTTAGGGTCTTTCTTTTATAAATTTTAAAACTTAAAGGTGTCTTCATAGTATTTATAAAACTAAAGGGATCAACTTCAAACTTCTTCATCAAAAAGATAAAGTTAAAATTTTCATTTACCTCTTTTTCTTTTTATAACATCTTTTCTCTCTTCCTTTATCATCTCTCTTCCGATATGAGACAATTTCATCAACCCTTTTTATACTTTTTCTTTGTCATTTTTTATTTGTGATTTTAATAAAAAAATAACTGATTAATTTTTATAATTAAAAAATGCATAATTTTATTTAAATATCTAAAAATATAAGACATTTTTATTATTTATATTTTACAAATTTTATCATAAAAACTGATTATATTTTAAAACTAATTATATATAAAATAATCGAGTATCTAACGAGCTTCTCGATTCGTGTATTGGGTAGCTTGGCTCGACTCGTTAATATGTCGAGTCGAGCTCGAGTTTGAGCCGAGCTTATTCGAGTTGAGTGTTGACCGATGTTTTGACCGAGTCGATCTCGAATAGCTCACGAGTTATTTCATATCATTTACACCCATATATTATATGTTAATAAAATATAAAAGCAATTTTCTTGTAGATTTTATGGGGTCAGCTGACCCCAAAGCTACAACATGAGTGTCCATAACCAATAATATAAATAAAGACCAAAAGTAGAAAATCTCACGAACCAACTTGAATCGTAAACGTAAATTAACGTAATTATTGGAATCTGTTTACTTAGCGATCCATGGGTTTACAAGAATAAAGACCGAAAAGAGAACCTGGAAGCTCTTGATGATCTCTTGAAGTTGCGACCTCTATCTCTATTTAACGAATTCTCTTCAGATTTAAATCGACCCTATTTTTTAGAATAAGATATGCACGATCTTTTTATCAAAAGGAAAAATCTCTTCATCATTTGAATGACTTTCGGGCCTCCTCACGAGAACAAATGACAGATGGGCTTGGAGAATTGGTTATGAGTAAAAGTCAATTCCTTCTTGGACTTGCTACTGGACAAAATACGTGTTCTCATAAGGTGTGGGCACGCCTTGTTCACTTTTTGCTGCTAGAATGCATTTGGGTGGACTCCTTCGGGAAATTGTTTAGATTACTGATTTTACATTATTTTACTCCAAAACCTCGTTGCTATGCCTATTTCACAAAATGAACGAAAATCAGTATCTTAGACGCAAATCACAGTATCTTAGAACACCTTCGGAGTCGTCGATCTCTTTTGATTCGACGAAGCTGATTACATGCATTTTTGTAAAAAAGATGTGGTCGCTCGCTTCTTTTTGTTTTAAGGGAGAATGGACTTGCACACACCTTCACATTCCTTTACCTACTTGCACACACATATGATTTGGCATTTTTATTTGAACCTTCTTATATATGTATAAATGTATATATAGAGAGAGATCTTCAAATACAACCAACTTAAAGAGTACAACCGTTACAATCAAGAGTATTTGGATATTTTTACAAAATTCGTATTTTTAGGAATAATTCAATTTTTTCTTAAAAATATTAATTTATTAAATATCTTATCCGGTTGCCATATGTAACCGACTTTGTATTTTTAGGAATAATCCAAGTTTTTCTTAAAAGTTATTAATTTCTTAATAAATAAACCATTCATAATTCGGCTACCATGCATAAAAAGTGCATAACTTTAATACAAGAACAATTTATAACCATTCGTAACTATTAATAAAATTTCATAACTATTTTTAAAAAATTCATCACTTTTTTCATATATGAAACCGTATACAAAGTGATCCATATATGAAAAAATCATTACTTTTTCATATATGAAAAAATATACAAAAACGATCCATACGGGAAAAATTCACCCTCGCCCCCCGCCCACAGACCATAAAACCCAGCCCCCAACCCCGCGCACCCAGCCCCCTCTAACCCAGACCTATCCCCCGCCCCTTGCCCCCGCTCGGGGACGGGGGGCCTGGGTTATATGGGCGGGGGCGAGAGGTGGGAGAAAAGGGTGGGTC